CTGGAATATTTTATTTCAACTTATTATTATTATTTTACACAATTCATCACTGAGAAAAATTGTGGGAGGTAAGGATAGAGGAAGGAGACAAAAACAATAGAAAACCCAAGCCCTGGCTCTGTATTCTAAGGACAATATGAATCAATGAGATCTTACAGAGGCAATATTCAATAGCAGGAAACTAGGAGTACTTTAAGGCTAGCATGTATGTATGCTGGATTTTCCTCCTGCTTTAAAATGAAATTACAGAAAGATTCCACTGTTCTTTAGAAAGTAGACACACTATTGAAGTGAGCTCTTTTTTGTTTTTTCTATTCAGATCGACTGATTTGAAAGAAAAGTATGGGGCTCTTGCCCATATAGAAAGCAGCAGATTGCTCTTGATTGGCCCCCTCCCATCGCAGCCTCAGAAGTTTTATTTTATAGTGATGTTGTTAGCCCAGTTCCAAAGAATAGTCACATAATTTGGTATCATCATTCAACTTTAAAAATGGAAAAAGTACTGTCTTTCCCCTCAGGCTACAAACTAACAGGGGTATCTGGCAGCATCCTGCCTACCTTTGACTTTCTTTCAGCCAAAGGAAATATCAAAGACCAGGTTGCCTGGAGAGGAATAAAGTTATATTATTTATATTTAGGAGGCAGTTTTCAGTTTCCAGGACCATTCCTGGCTTGCTAAGTAAATCTGTGTCTTATGCCACTCAGAGATAGGTCTGAGTGCCTGTCAGGAGACGTCTGGGCTGCCTTAGAAACTCACAATGATTTCTCCAACACTGCTAGGCTTTCCCAGCAATGCGCTTTCCTCTGTGGAAGCTCTGGGAATGATTTAAGCCCCAGGTGAGCCTTCCAGGCACTGCCCTTCGTCCCCATCTGGGCAGGAAGGTGCAGAACTAGCTAGACGCTGGGCCAATTTGGGGAGCAGGGAAAGAAGGGTGGAGAGGCCGCCTGTTTGAATTAAAGACAATAAGCAATCCTGCCAGGAGCTGTCCTTGAGCCTTAGCTGAAGGCAGAAAAACAGTCCATCTCACCTTAGTAGTTACGTTTGTTTGTTTGAGTTGGCTGGGGGGGCCAATAGCAGAAACTTGCAGGTAGTGCTGAGCTTGGGAGACTGGGCCAATGGTTAAATTGCAGCAAGTGTATTTTTAAGTCCCATTGCTTCTGCATCCCCTAGTCTCTCAGTGCTCGGTGCTCGACTTGGGCACACTTTGATTCTAACTTTGCTTGCTAGATGGCGCTCGGTGTCTCAGGACCTTCCATTTCAGAATTGAAGTGGCTTTTTCCGCACCGTCGTTCTGAGCTAGTTGTGGGTGTTTGATTAACACAGTGATGGTAATGTTATTATTGCCCTTATTTTTGTCACCCTTGGTCTCCTTTTGACTAAGGTAGCATTCAGGTAGGAGCTACCCATCTTAATCTGTGTACTAATAAAGTTTAGGGAAATTCTGCTCCTGAGTTTGGGGCACATTTATGGCTCAATTACTCATTCTGATCCGTTTCAAAAAGCACCTCAACTTTTCCCCCAGTAATCTTATTGAGGTTTTCAGGGAAGGATAAATCAGCAGGTCCAGATGGTTATTCACAATTCTCAGGTTTCCCACCAGAGTCTACTACCCACTCCCACCACTGCTCCCCATTCCCATTTCAGGTTGAATTAAGCTAATCTTAGGGAACTATTCCTTTCATTTGTCATTCTGGGATATCATTAATTGATTTTTAAAAGGATTATGATTGATTTAAAGCCCAAATACTAAGAACTCATGTCTATAAAGAGGTATTTTTTAATATTAGCAACAAAAGTCACTACAACACTTGTTTAACATGGTGATTTGTGGATTCTGATGTGTATTTATTTTAACCACTAAGTGGTTCTTCTCAGATATTGAAGTCACATTTGGCTGGGGAGGGTAATTCCTTTGTGTTGAAGCACAAAGAGGGAAAATCAATAGTTCTAAGTTTCTGATGGAAAAAATAAAGATGAGCCAAAAGAACCTATATGCTGTTTTGTTGAATGAAGACATCATTTTCACAGCATTCATCACTCTCCTACCATTGTCTGTCCTTTAAAGGAAAGGTTGCAGGTAGGAGTGGTGGTGATTGAAAGAAAATTTTCTCTTTAACGACGTTTTACCAACTCTTTAACAAAGGAGAGTTACACTTGTTACTTGCTTTTAGGATTTGGGGAATTAATTTGTATAGAAACGTTCCACCTTTGGGAAAATTAGTAACACTCAGAGCTGGATGGCTTGGAAACCTTTTGTCAAGTCTAGGCTGCTTTGGTGAAGAACCCTGTGAAGTCTCTCTCTAGGTGTTAGGCTGAAACTAACAGGCGCTGAAAACCTAAAGAGGGAAATTTACAACTTGATCAGCCCCAGCCACACACCAAAAACCTGCTACGGATGCAAACATATGTTTCAGATTAAGTTAAGCAAATGGCTCTTGTTTTTCTTTTTTTTCTTCTTCTTCTTTTCCTCAAAGTTGAAAGTTGATCACGAAAATTTAAATTTAAGTGTGCTGTGCTTCCAGTGGATCACTAGATCCTCAGATGCTTACAAATCCCCCTAACCATTTACTTAAGTGTTTCCATTACCTTCCTGAGATCCTAATTCAGAATCTCCTGCAAATGGAATCCACTCAGGTATTAATTTCCAGAAACACATGTAGTTTTGAAAGTTGGCTAAATTGAAAACTCGATATAGTCTTCCCTCTGATATTAAAGTGCTAGATAGCTAAAGTGTACCTCAGTTGTTCTAATGGTTTGCCTCTTTTCCTGCACACTTACTAAATTTTAAACGCTGATGTTAAAGTACAGAATTTATTTTAAAGTTCCTTCGAAGTTTCATTCGATAGAGGAGTAGGTGATTTTCCCCCACAGGATGAGACAAAATAAAGGAGTGTTCCCAAAGCCTTTAATTATGTTGGGAAAGACCAAAATCTTGATGTTTCTTTCAGTGGGGTAGGTAACTATCTTGCCCAACCTCCCTGCGGTCATCCAGCCCATCTCCCAACTCAATTATTTGGCTGCTCAGACGGTTGGTCAAGAAGTTTAGAATTGACTCCCCACTCTCTAAGATAGCTCTCTGGGTCAGTCGCAGAAGAAGCAATCAGGCATCAGACACCTCTGTAATCTCGAGTCTGAAGTCATTCCCTTTACTTCTCACTTTCGGAGCTATCAGCCTGCAGATTCTAACCGATGTTGTCACGCTGAAATTTGGTAGTTATGATTTATACTTCTCCCTGTCCCAGGGGCTTTTGGCAAATGTTTAGAAATTACTGATTTCCAAGAAACCAGCTCCTCAAGAAGCCTGTTCTTTTATAACATAGAAAGTATACACATTTCTTTAAATAGGCAGTGTATATGTGACATTGACAAATGGCAAGAGAGAAGGAAACTTATTTTAAAAGACTATGAAGGGAAGAAGTGGAGAAGACAGCAGCAATCCTATAGAAGAGTAGGGTTGGAATTACAAGAAAGCTTGACTAATAATTAAAATGGCCACGTATGCTTTAGGATGGCACAAAGTTTCATTGAACACGTGTGGGTGGCATCAGGGAGACCTGATCGAGATCCTCAATGTTCTCGAGTTAAGGAAAAGTATGTGGAAAATTGAGCTCCTCATCCTTCTTTTCTTCACATTTTTCTCTGGCAAAAGTGGCCCTGAAATATTCACTCAGGTGGGAGTTTCTGACTTAAAATAATCTAGAAAAGTCATTCTGAATCTGGATCAGAAATTCACTTTTCTTTAAAATAAGACATTCTTGATTAATTAAATCCGTATCTTAACAACTCCTTCCCCTCAAGTCATAAGGAAAATTTCTCTTGAAGGAAAGAGATCCCCCCCATTCGAACTGAGAGCAAATCCTCTGCACCCAGGTATTCAGTAAGTACTACCTACTTCACCCCAAATCTCTACAATTCCCTTACCCCAGAGACAAGGGAAAACCCGAAGTCCTTCCCTTCACTGGATTCCCTGTTTTTCACTCCTGAACTCCAGAAAGGATGAAATGTTTCATTTATTCAAAAAGGGAAGCCCAGTTCATTAGATGAGCGCCCTCAAAATATACCAACCAAACACTCCATACAGACGTACGGAGATACTTCAATTTCAGGTTTGGATAGCATGGGGTGTACCCTACTCTAGAATGTGCCATGCTCCAAATGACTATCATTCAACAAGTCCCCTTCGAAATCCTGCCCACGTCAGCTGCTAAATTGCATTAGGCAAGGTGAGTTCTCCCCAGTTTCCAGAGGAGGGCTGTGCCCTTAGTTTAAATAGCTCCCGGCATGGCCAAGTCTCTCTAGCAGCAGGAATTTGTCTTGTTATTTGGACAAAACAACTCTTGACACCAAAAGAATAGCCCAACTACGAGGAAAAAAAATCTTTGGGAAGAAAGATTTCAGCAATGACTTGCAGACTAGAAAAGGGCAAGAAGTTTGTGTGAGCACCGAAGTAGGAGAAAGCAGTGTTTATGGCTCTTCTGAGGGAAACAAATTAAATTGCTAACCAGTGAAAGATGTAATGTAATATTTGTATGTCTTAAGGGACAGACAATACAGCATTTTAAGGCTAAATTGCTGCTAAACTGTGGAACTTACTGAAATTTTTCATTGTCATACTACGTCAGAGAATAGTTTCACCCTGAAATTCTTGTGTGTAATCCGTGTTACCGTGCAGATACGATTTTGAAATTGGCTTATTGAGGATATTTTATGGGAAAGAAAGTCCTTAAATTAAGATACCAGGGTCTTCCCTTTCTTGCTTACTCTTTCACTCTTTCTAGAGAAGTTTGGATTAAGTTGGTTTAAAACTAGTCTTGTTTAATCGATCTCGAAGAGAAATTTTTTTTGTGTGTCTCACTTGCTCTAAATGTAATAGTTTTGTCCCCAACGTTAAATCAAGAGCGTGGATGAGCAGAATAGGGTCCTAAAGCCCAACAAATGGGGCAAACTCCAATACAACAAAGTGCAATTTCAAATCTTTTAAAAACTACTCTTGTCTTAGGAGTGGTGACTGAAGAGTTGCTGGAACGATCAAGCAATGAAAAAGATGCCCCACAGAAAGTGATCTGCCTTTATTCTACTTTGCTTATCGAGACAGTAAAAAAGAAAGCCAAACAGGGACCTGCGCGGAAACGCACAGGTAGGACCTGAGGTCTGCAGAGGGGAAGAAGCGGCGAGCTGGACCGCCCCTTCTGGCTGCTGTCACAGAAGTTGCTGTCAGGGTTTCTGGAGCGCAGCGGGGCCAGGCGAAAGCGCGGTCGAGCCCGCTCTCCTGGGCGGCAATGAACCTGTCAGTGCCCGGGCGCGCAGAGCTGTCCCACAGACAGCAGAGCCGTGGGACCAGGGGCCCGGCAGGTGCAGCCGTCTGCTGGGAGGCTCATCTGTCGGGCTGAGACCCTGAACCTGGGGAGACTGCGCCCCCGGCGCCGCAGACCTTTTAACCCACAGTCGTCCAGAGCTGGCCAGCAAAAGGGGTGGTGGTGAAAAGTTGATCAGAGAAGGGTTAAAGTTGGAGGAGGGAGGCCCCTTGCCATAAAAGTGTCCAAGAGTGGCGCTGCTTTCACCGCGGACGGGATGGAATTCGGGGAGCCGCGCAGGGAATGGCGTGTGCACTTTGGTCGCTCTGATTAACACTGGGCATGGAGCAAGCAAGGTTCATCACTCACAAACTGCACACACGCTAAACTCACTGCCGTTTCGGGCTCAGATCCTAAGATTTCAGGAGCCAATCTTCTATGGTGGGGGAGTGGTCAGAGAAGGGAGTCGGGCGCGGCCCGGACCTCGGGGTTCTGGCCAAGAGCGGGAAGGGGGCGCGCCGGGCGCTGTCCATGGTGCTGGGAAGAGCGCGGCTGCACTTCCTGCACCTCGCTCTCCCCAAACCGAGCTCAGGTGTGAAAAAGGCAAAAAGACACTAACTCTTCTGCTGAAGACCTCTTTTCTGCCTTGCAATGTGGAAAATACGGACTTGGTCGTCCAGTTTCAACAGTACTCTAGGACGATTCTAGTCTTTACATCTCACTCAGTATTGCTTAGACAGCAGGGGTAGATTTTTTCCTTAAAGTGTTCCATATTTCAAATAATGTAATCAGCAATTGCTGATATACAAAGTAAAGATAAAGGATGAAAGAAAAGAATAATTTGAGATTCTACACATATCCAAAGGCACTTCGCTATTTCCAGATTTGATAGGAAATAGAGCATGGCTTAACCTGCTAGATAATGAGTTTACTGAGAAAATACTATACATATTTTTTTCAGTTTCACCTAATTCTTTGCCAAATGATATAGTTATATATTTGTTAGCACAAGTAAAAGGAGTAAGTTACCTATAGTAGTGCGTGCATAAATTAAGAAATGGCTAAGATCTCATCCTATGTTCTTAAATGGTATTCTAACAGCTGCATTTTTAACAAAACAAATGTGATTCCTTAAAAAAACAGGTAATCAGAAAGAAAGTAGGATAAAGGTACAATTATTTCAAAATCAGGACAAAAAACTAAATAGACACATAACCTACTTAGTAAGGAGTCACATTCTTTTACACCCCCCCCCCCATGTGTGACAAACAGGTAGACTGTTAAATATGTTTGGTCCAACCAGAAATGTGAAGAACAGAAAAATAATTGATCTTAATTGTTTTAATTATGAAAATCTTAGCCTCAGCAACTTGAGTCCATGTGACAACGAAGAAGGAAGAGGATATGAATTCAAACAGCTGACACAATGATTCAGCAGCAGCTGACAGCATCTCATTTGATATTTGATATCAAGCACTAGATCAATATTTGTGAGATCAATGCAATTTTAATGGTTTTCTTTCAAAACCGTATGAAAGCCAAATTGTGACACTCTGTGGTAGGGTTATTTTTAGAGCTGGTTATTCCAGGGGACAATATTAAGTAATTTACTGAAGCAAAGCAAAAAACAAAAACAAAAAACCTCAAAAAACCCACCACAACAAACCATCAATATTTCCTCAGTTGATAAATCCTGATTATCCAAGTACCCAGAGAAAGTGTGAACATTTATTGGAAAAAGGCCATTTATTTCATTATGATTAAAAAAGAAAATAAGCCTTTGAAAAATTCTTTGGAGGTACATGAAGATGAACTGGATCAGATATAGCCTTTTCAGATACAATGCGATTAGGTGGTACTTGAGAAAGAAGAAATGACAATGACAGAAAAAGAAGACCTAGACCTTTTAGGTACAGGGTCAACCCTGTAAAGTGTGGACTTCAGTGGGAAATAACAGATTTTTCCTGCATTCCTAGCAGAATAGAAAACTGAGAGCTCTATCTGATACTCTAAGCAATGTTCTCATAAAGGTCAAATAGAGAAGGAAAAGTAAATAGGTGTAAATATATGTAAGTATAAAATACTTTCCTTAGAAGAGTTTATAACTTAAAATGCAACTAATCTAACTTAGAGGAACATAGTTCTAAACATATGGTTGTATTTGAACTCATTTGGTTACCAATTCATTTTGATAAAAATGCTAAACTTGGATTTATTTGTTTTTACAGATTCAATTTTGAGGAATTTTCAGCTAGAGGAACCCAAGACCTTCTATACCAACAATTTCTGGGGAGGTAGTTGGTAAGGGAGGGGACAAAACTAGGTGAACATTTCATAAGAACAGTAGCAAAGGTGAGGTGTGGTGATGTTAGGTAGTGTTGAAGACAAGAGGAGGTTAAAGTTTTTGGGTTATAAGACCACGAAAATGTCTCTCATTTGTAATTTGACTTTGATTAAAAACTTGGGAGAAAATTATTTTCTTTTCACTTGAAATGATAGGAACATTTTAGAAAATTTCTGATGCTTGACCCCAAAAGACCTCTCATTCTCTTTCAGATAAAGAAAATACTACCCAACTATGCCAATTCTTATATTTTTCCTTCACACGTTTATTTTTTCTTGGTATTTTTCTAGATGACAGTAAATTGTCTGATGCAGAAACTGACAGATCACTTCAAATAAAAGGCACTGAATTATGTGCTTTTAAATAAAATTCACATCTAAGTCCTTTTGCAGCATCAGACAGTACACCTTGTACATTCCTTAAGAATCTAGGCAAAGGCATATTTTTTAGGATTTTAATAACTCCATAAAAAGTCACTGCATGTGTCTCTCTGTTCTATTGTATTTCAAATTTGGCAGATTGCCTACAAATTAAAGACGTCAATAGTTTAAATCAAATATTCTTTAATAAAATAAACTCAATCTTACATACAGATACACATTACATACAAATAGAGAATTTACAGATGCAAATGAACTTGAGGCACTTAAAAACATTTACTACAATGTCTTGCAGATTTTGAACTTGAAAATTTTATTTCACAGAGCTTTTAAAAACATTCATTGTGACCAACATATACTGAGCACCTATGTTACAAACACCAAATGAGCATGTACATAAATTTTGTATTGTCTGTGTGTTTCAGGTGGAATGCCCAAGAAAGAACACATATACCCTATGGGTGGATATGCATGTTTATGAGGTATATACATATATGTGCTTATATGTGTGTTTTAATATGATGTCTTTTAAAAAACCCTGAGTTATTTTAAAGGAAGAAATGAACTTTACATTCAATGGTGGGTTGGCTAATCCTAATTTGACAAAGAAAATTTCCTCATAGCATGAAAGACACTTAGAATTTAAAAGTTTACGGCACCAAAAATGCTGCTCTTAAGCCACTTTGAAGTAATGCTAGTGAGTCCACGATCCAGATCTACATGTTAATCTCTAGTTTTGCCTTCAAACAGAATTCAGTTACAAAGAACTTGGAAAGATTTTGCATCTATTCAGGAGAGGAAAACTCTTTAATTTTCTGAGGAGCAAAAACTCCCCAAGAAACTTCATATAGCTTCTTAGATTTTGCTTAGCATACGTGATAAAACATTGATTGTTGCAGTTTGGTGACCCATGAAATTTGGGGGTTAGTTTTCTCTTCAGACCAGAGCATATAATTATGCAAATAAAGAGCTGTCACTGATCTAGTGAAATACTCACAAACACATGCACTCTGAAATTGGACAGAAAAGTGAAAATGGTTGGTGGTGTGATGGTGCCATGGTTTGTTTTCCTGCCAAGTTTCTATCCAAGTTCATTATTCAAATTGTAAACTTTAAAAAGAGACATATCATTCTTGGGGCGTTGGGTGTCTTTTCATTTCAGATTCTTTGTATTGGTACCGCAGGCTGGTCACAAAGTACGGTTCAACATTATTTTACCTATGATGGTTTCCCATATTACCCAATGTAATTGCTAAGGAAGAAAAAGCTGAATGGTCTAGTAAGAAAGGTGCAGGACCTCTCTAGATTTCTTTCTAGAAACATTTCATGTGTTTTAAACAGAACTCAATTGTAATAACCCAAAGACTATAATGAAAGCTTTTCCACAAGCTCAAGGGAAGTGACTGGGAAAAGCTGCCTGGAAGGTCCCATGCATTAAGTCAAAATTCTATTTTGAAGCTTTTTATATTCAAGGCAAAAATACTTGGTCACTTTGTGATACCTCCTTAAGGGTTAAACTCGCAGGATGGCTTTCTCCTCTCTGGCAACTGGTTCCCTTACAGTTATTACTCCTATAAAACCTTTGTACCAAGAATTAACACGAGTTCTTCAATCTCATCATGCACTTAGACATCAAGGCCTCCCAACTCCAAAGTTACCAGAGCACAGGCTGTTGCATAATTTCAGATGGCATGGAGAGTCTCACTGATGAAATCCGAGAAGGCTCATGTCAGACCACTGACTGCTAAAGACATCACTACATGAAAGATCAGTGGTGTGAAACTTTAAAAACATCGATCCAAATGAATCAATTAAATCAACATTCACCCTTCCTAAGTGTGAGGTTTAAAACTATCATTGTTGCTTTTTTTTTTTTTTAACCCTACATAGATTTCAAGATAAATGCTGGAATGCTTTGATGACTGCTTCTATTCTTAAAACTCAGTTAATCGACTTTGTGCTATTTCTTCCTTTTCAACATCTTCCACTTGGTGTACATTCTTTACTTTGGTACAGTGCGTGACAGTTGCAATGCTTTAAATCTCAACCCGCCTAACAAAGCTGATGCTTTAGGTAGGGTAGCTTTAAGCTCTGTGAAGTGTTGATTAAAAACCCTTTCTCAGACTCAAACTGATCTTTTTGGAGATTAATAGAATATTAGATAAAAGGAAGACGAACAATTCAAGAGACTCCCACTCAGTCATTCTATACAAGGAAGGAAGGAAAGTATTCAATTTTTGAAAGGGAGTACCTCCTGGCGTCTTTTATTTTATATTATTACAGTCCCCAATAAGTAATCATAAAATCACCATCACTATCATCTCCCCCTTTGCCACCCATATTTCAAAGATGAGAATGTCTCACAGTTATTTAAAGATTTTTTTTTCCCACAGAATCATGGGGAAAGTTTTTGAGAATTTTTACACTTGCTGTAAGAGTAATCCTTCTTAAATGAATGAGAAGCATAGCCACTAAGAGAAACCTATCAGTTCACAGTAAAAACTGTGATTTAACAAGAGGCATCACACATGTTTGGACTGGAGCTCCAGATAATCCGGAGAAAAATGAAAAAATAACCTATCCTATTAGCAGTGATAATATAGTTAATGCAAGTAGTCATCCACACCCTCTGAAAGGAATTAAAAATTTTAAAGGAAGGAACAGTTATAAAAGAAATGTAAACAAGTTGATTTCAGATTGGATACAGTACATTAAGGACCTACATATAAGAGTTTGGGAGCAATTACATCTCACTAGACTTGCTTTAGAAAATATATTTACCTATTGATGATGTGCTGTTGAAATTTCCTTGCTAAGGAGACAGTTAGGCATTAAAAACAAATTCCTTAAAATGGTAGCTTTGTGAAAAGTGTGAGCCAAATTGTGACTAAGTTGAAGTTTGGATATTACCTTACAGCAATAATAAAAGAAATAACAAATAAAGCTTAAAAGTTGATGAATGCTGTCCCATCATTTCTTTTATAGTCCAGCTTTTAAAATCTGTATACACTTTATGAATAAAGGAACTTCTGAACAAGAATAATACACACTTACTTATTGGGAAAACTTTTTATTTTAAAATGATAAACAGAAATATAAGATATATAGGAAACCCCTGTGCTTTAATTTTGTTTTTTGACATATAAACAAGAATGCAATCTGGGTTGAAGCACAAGGCAGAAATCAGAGAAAAAAGCAATTATTACAAGTAGATGGTCCACCTTTTAAATACCCATAAAGACTTTTAACAACTGCTTGGTTAGGAACCTTTAGAAAGCGCCAAAGCTTATCTGGCTTTTAAATTTCAACAGAACTATTTTGAACTTTAGATCTGCCAACAACTCCATTCCCGTTCCACTTGCTTGAAAAACTAAGTACATACTTGAAATAAAAAGTCCATATCCTAGCTTTAAACCTCTAACGACCTGAAAACCTGTCCAAGGAAACCAACATGGGGGGAGGTCAGAGAAGAAGCACTGTTAATACTGGCCGGCCCTGAGCAGGCGGCCTACTACCAACTGCTTGCTGTTATCGCAGGAAAATTGAGGTGAACAGTGTTATTACATTTATACCAACAGACCCACAATCAACAAGTTAAAAAAATCCTACTTTCCAAGGAATCTGATCAGTTGTCGGCTGGTGGTCTGGAATGGTTTCCCTAGCTCCCTCTGGGTTGCCACAGCTTAGATCTACAAGTAGAAATTACATTTACACAACTTAAGTTTGCAAATAGCTCTTTATACATAGTTAAACAAGGCCTTACAATCCAGTAGTTTTAAAGTATTAAAGGCAATTAAACAGTGATGTTGTCTAGTTACAAGTAAAGGATTTTAAAAAGAGAGGTGGGAAAATTGGAAAGAAGGAATAGGAGTCATTTGTATTATAAGCTGAGCATTTTACTTTGCTTTAATTCAGCTGCAGAAGCTTCACAAATTTAGCACTGCACAAGTGTTTTTTATTTAAATGCTACAAAATTAGTTTTATGTGAACATTTTCATATATTGAAAACACCACACAATTTATAACACTTGGAAAAATATATTCAATCCACATCAATTCTCAAATCCTTTCACTGTAAGATACCATCACTTTACACAGTCTACTGTGACTTCTAAAATAAGAAAGATCAGATAAAAAGGGTCAACATCACAGACCCATGCGCTTGGCATTCTTGGGCTTACACATTTTAAACCACCCAAGAAGCTGGGTAAAATGCCTTTTGATTTTTCCTCTCATGTTGTTTCTGTTTAAATAATATCCAAAGATATACAGACATGACCACTGGGCGGGG